CAGTGCACATCAAAATAACCAGAGGGCTATATCCGATTTCCACAGACAAGATGAAATCACTCTTGTACCACATTACCATCTTCTCTTTACAAGTTGGAAAACAGTCAAAATTGAAACATGCCACAACTGCTGTGTGATTATGGAAGACAATCCCTGGTCTGGCACATTCTCAGAGACAAAAAAACAGCACTACCCCCGGTAATTTGAAATTTACAAAATCAAGTTTAAAGCGTGCCAACTTGCCAGAATCTGAATTTAATTCCCTTTTTAAATGATCCAACAACTTTCAGCATTCTAGTTGGCTCTTGGCTTTTGACACTAATCCTGAAAAACATCCAACTGCTTCAGGTACAATTTTTTTTGCATAAACCCTTGTGGTGATATGTACAACATGGCCTGTTGATGATTTATGTTGCCAAGTTTGCTACAATCTGTATCTGTATCTGTATCTGTATAGCCGGTATAACCGCCTTTCGGCGTAACACACCAGCTTCGCAGGCACGCGGCGCGGCGGCAGCTGGCTATATTACACCGATCGACTTGTTACACCTAACCCTTGAACTTCTAGCTCTAGACATTGTTTAAAGCTATCTATTGACAATGCCCCTACTGTACTTGGTGACAGTGAGTTCCACTCTGCGATAGTTCTAGGAAAGAATGAATTCTTGAACACCTCAATCCTTGGTTGATAACTCTGGTACTTGAATGCGTGGCTATTTCTTGTTCTCTTCTGGGCTGGTATTAAGTACTTAGTAGTTGGGACATCCACCAGTTTATTAGTCATTTTGTACATCATGCATAGTCTAGACATCTTTCTTCTGTCTTCCAGTGAGGTCCACTGTAGGTTTCTTTTCATTTCCGTGGCACTAGCACCACTGTAACTAAGTAACAATCTTACAACACTGAATATGTCATGTCACTATCTAATTTTAATATTAATATCTCTTTAGAGAATTTATCCTGACTGTTGCTTGATTTGTTTTGTATTGTAATTAAGGTTACAACAATTACGACGGTATGTCATATTTAGGCCACACCAATTTAATTTGTTTCTTCTCAGATTCGCGCTGTCCCTTTTTTTCTGAATTGTAAAAAAAAAAAGATTTTAGGTTCTGAATCAACTGCAAAATGCTCAATGACATGTTTTGGCCCCAACAGTTGAAGAAAGTCCTTTTCTTCCTAGTTGTTAAAGTTTTTTGATGTAACAATGCAACTTTGTCATTTAAAGTTCAAAATATATTGTTTTAATTATAAACCAGTCTAGTATGTTGACTTCATGGCTCATATCGTAACATTTCCGGCTATCACGGGGTGCCTTGGCCTGTTTTATTTTTTCACCCTGTCGCTTCATATTTTTTCTGAAAAAATCCGAGAAGCACCAAATAAAATTGGTGTGGCCTTATGGAGGCATCAAAATCAAAGTTTGGACTATACTTTATTTTCATGGATATTATTATTATCATGTGGCAATTAAAGAAATAAAATCTCATTAGGAGGCATTTGCTGGCTTTGTATGTTTGATTGAAATTAGACTATGATATTCTGTATCTTACATGTTTCTGAGCTAATTTGCGGTGGCCTAAGGCCTGTTTTTTCTTGTTTTTATATCATAAAATGCCCATCAACAAAATTCCCATAAACGTCATGTACAAAATGTAAGAAATATATCCTTGCTAACATCTGATACTACAGAAAAGGAGACAGCAAGTCCAGCAAACAGTGAGCTAATTTGCAGTGGCCTAAAGCCTGATTTTTTCTTGTTTTTAAATCATAAAACGCCAGTCAACAAAATCCCCATTAACCTCATGTAAGAAAATATCCTTGCTAGATATGACTGAAAAGGAGACAGCAAGTCCAGTAAACAAAGAGCTAATTTTCAGAGGCCTAAACTACATATTTTGTAAAGCCTGACTTACACATCACACCTCCAGCTTTCTAATGACCAGATTACTTGCCACACTGCCCAGCACATTTCTTCAAGCACAGTTTTGACACAGCCATAGATCCAATCACCTCAAAACCCAGGAGGTATGGATTTTTCATCAAGGGGACAGGGGTGGACTTAATGTCTAACAGCTAGCAGGGCAAGCCTAAATAAGACATAATGAAGCATAAAGATGTCCAGAGCTGCTGCCCCAGTTTGGTCCATTACTTCTACACATAATACTGTTCTGTTCATCAACAAAGTTGATCCAGTTACAGTCTGGTAATGTGGTATCAGTTGTGTTACACAAGTACATGTACGTCGGCAGAACGTACTGCACCTGCGCGAAACCTGTAATGTATTGTTCATAGCACTTTGGCAGAACGCTTCATATAAGGTCATTTCACGCATATAAGGTTAACATCTCGTCTGTAGTTTCCAAATGTTATATTGGAAAAGATATCCTCTGCAACAGGCAAAATTCTGATGCAACGTTGACCAAAAATGCACCAAAAAAAGGGTTCTGCACAGGCGCAGTGCGTTCTGACGACGTGCTTGTTACACATGTACATGTACAGGTGTGTTAACAGGTCATACAGTATAGCAGAGTTACAAAATGCTGCGCTCTTGTTAAGAAATTCAAGATACAAAGCAACAGTTTATCATAAGACTGCTCCCATTTTAGAAGCATATGTCCCAAAAATTAAGTTGCGCACCTGGAAATTTTTCATAGGAGCACCCAGCGTTCCCATGAAATTTGCATGCACTACAGTGTTGTATAATGTCTATTATGGACTGCAAAGCTTAACAGTCATATCAGGACTTCAGATATTTGCTTTCTTGCTCTCTGATCATGATACTTCTAATTTACACGTTTCTGAAGCTCACACAATATTTGTGCAGCATCCTGAAAATTAATGTTCGATAAAAATGCTCCACCTTCAAAATGGTGGGTGTAAATTTTTAGCTGATGAGCCCAGATTTTTGAAGTTGCAAGCACCTGTGCTCCTAAGTCCAAAAGTTAGTCTGGAGTCCTATAGTATCACTATGTCACCACTCAAATGTTCACAGAACATGCTTCGATGTTGGACCAGCAGTTTTAATTAAACATGTAACTACCAACAGAGATGAACTTTCATCATTGATAGTATGCTTCTATATAGTTTGAACCTTGAAAATGCTAAAAGGATGTGGACTCACCTATGGGGCTGTAGTCTGTGGCATCAAATGTCCTGAAGGATGAGCCGTAGGTGTTCTTCAACCAGTCATCTTCCAACTCATCTTCTTCTTCATGGAACATAGCTGTCAACACAACCATGTACGTTTGTTACATCATGGTTCTTTGGTATGTTAGTTACATAATGGATTTGTCTTCTCAAGTCCAAGTCCACGTGTATGACAACTTGCTGTATTGACAAACTTACAGAAACAAGCTGAGTTTACAGCAATGTTTCAAAAGGTACACAGAAGGAATTGGTGGTCCACTGAAACTACATTGTACTTACAGAAACTAAATCATTCTGACATTAACCCTTTGTTTGACTGTCTAATAAAGCAGTCTATTACTACTACCACTCGTCCACTACTACTACTACATGTTCTACTACCACTACTACTACTACTACTACAACCACTACTACTACTATTACTACTACATGTACTACTACCACTACTACTACAACTTCTACCACCACTACTACTACTATTACTACTACATGACTGTACTACTACCACTACTACTACAACTACTACCACTACTACTACTACTATTACTACTACATGTACTACTACTACTACTATTACTACTACTACTACTACTACTACTACTACTACTAACCTTTTGTTTGACTGTCTATTAAACCTGTCTTCTACCACTGCTATTAGTATTACTACTGCTGCTACTGCTACTACTACATGTACTACTAACCTTCTGTTTGACTATCAAATCTGCCTACTGCTACTACTACTACTACTACTACTACTACTACTACTACTACATGTACATGTACATATAATATTGCTGACCTCCATACATGACAGTTCCGTTGTTGTTGAAGACCACCTGACACTGGTCCAGTGAGGGCACGGTGTGGAGCAGGTGGAAGGATCGCATGTCCCACTGTATCAGGGTCAAGGTTCACACAACAGTCCAGCTGTCGCACTTACATGTACTTTTAACCAATACCATCAGGGATCAAAATGGTCTGGGGTTCTCCACCAATCAGAAGCCAGTTACTATAATAAAATCATTGTATTGTACACAGTACACAGACAGAAATGTTTACATGTTGTTTGGCAAACTTACTGCCCAATAAGTTTTACTTCTGGTCCCAACTATAGTATAAGTTTTAGTTCTGATCAATATTATTTTATTTGGTTACACAGTATATATTACCAGTTATCTTTTGACAACTACTGTAAATTACTCAATACTCGTGGTACTTTAATATTCACGGTTTTCGCAGTCACTTCCAAACCAACAAATCAAATTGGTGTGGCCTAACTAAGAGGAAACTGAGTGGAAAGGATACAATCTCAGAATTGATGACGATCTCCAGACCGTTGGGGTGGAACACTCCGCTGATGTTACCATTGAACTTGTCAAACTTGTGGATGGGCTTAGCCGACCTGACATCCCATAATACCCCGTCAGACAGGACCATGTCGTCCGTGGCGTTGAAGGTGGCCTTGTTCTTATTGTAGCGGTTGGTGAGGTCAGGGTCGACCAGGGTCAGGGTCTTCTGACACGTCTGGATGTCGTAGATGTGGGCAATCTCGTTCTTGGTACCGATGACTCGGTCCTGGGGAAAGGGGAATTCAAAGTGACAGTTTTAGCTCACTGAAGAGCTAATCTCCCACTAGTTGTGACATGCAGAGAAGACAGATGCTATGTACAGTATTTACACGTTCATTGTACCCTAGCTCTTTTCAACAAGCACAATGAACAATGGATCACAACTTAACATCCTCTCCTAAGGACAGCCACCCTTTCTAGAAGCTTGCATGTCTAGCTAGCTGTGTCAGAGTTACATGTATCTGTTAAAAAATACTCTACATTCACGGTACTTTCATATTTCACAGTTTTCACAGTCAATGTGCCACAAATTTATCATTACCGTGAACGAATAATTTGCTGACTTTTGAACCTACCGCCACCGTGAACATATAATTCCATGAACATGTCCATTTTTCTTAGACCGCCAAATTATGCTACCGCGAATATTTATTAGTGGTTTACAGCGTGTGGCTTGAAACCCACCTGCACCAGTTTGCTGAACTCCACATGGTTGTCCTCGGCGATACTCATCTTCCTGGTGAACACTCCGTTCATGCTCCACAGCGCCGACAGCGGCCGCCCGTACGACCCCGAGGTCAGCATGAGGCTCCCGTCACGGGAAGGCTCGCAGTGTGTGATCGCACTGTTATGACAGACGTACGTCCCCTCCTCCGTACCCGAGATCAGGCTGTACATCTTCAGTTCTCCGGAGTAGGTCCCCAGCGCCACGTACTTGTGGTAGAACGAGGAGGGCATGAACGCGCAGCACGTGAAGGAACTGTCACCCTCCGCGTCTCGCAGCATGCGGACCGGTCGGAACCTGCTGTAGATGAACTGGCGGTCGTACGAGGATCCGTCCAGCCCGCCGTAGATTGGGAAGGCCGCCCTGCGGACGAGGCGCGCCGCGACGTTGTTTGGCGCGTGTCTACGGTACTTGGGTTCGGGACAGTGGTGGGGCTGTATGAGGGAGAAGGGTGGACAGGTGGATACGGGGTTCCGACAGTGCGAATGCTGCTCTGCTAGATACTTCTTCACTATATTGTCCAGAGAGGGAGGGGCGGGGGAGGTCTTCATCATTTGTTTCCTCATCACGGGACTGGGCATGAAGTTCCCGCCGGCCGTTTGCGACTTCTGTCGGACAAAGTGCGGAGTCCTGTTGGTCCGAGAGGCTCCGGACGTGGGAGGAACGAATTTCAAATGTCCGCTGAGGGGAGAGGTGTTGGAGACGCTGGCGTTTCCGGCCGGCGGAACCCTGATCAGCTTGTGTCCCTGAGGAGGTGCTGCCGCCATGGCGACGGGGGCGTGGTGCGCCGCGGAGTGTCTGATTGGCTCGTGGTGCGGAGAGACCCTGCCCAATCCCGCCTCCCGCTGCAGGGATGCCGCCGTGTCCGTCATGCCGTTCTGCAAGAGGTGGTTGTGGATGAGTTGCATCAGTTCTTTGGAGTTGTACGCTATCCTGGTCTGGGCGACGATGTCCGCCCGGTTCAGTCCCGCCAGGGTGGCCTCGTAACCGGACAACACCGGCTTCCCCGAGATCCTCTCCAGCAGCTCGGCTGCGTACTTGACGAACTTGAGGTGCTCCTGCCGCTTCTCCTGCAGGGTGGGTTCCTTCATCAGCCGCTGCATCTCCCCGGAGCTGAACAGCTGCAGTTTGCCGATGATCTGCTTGACAGTGTCGCAGCGCGCCAGACCGCACAGGGCGCGGCACGCCATGGCACGGATCTCGTCTGCATCCGTGATGGGCGATTTCACAGTGAATAGGTTCAACAGGACCTGCAGTAGGAGTAGTAAAAGAAGAAATGCTTTAAAAAAAGGGAGCCAAGATGGGAATAGCTGGTTGGGTGGCATGAGTGTGATAATGATGTGCGACTCAAATACTAATTGTCATTTGGTGCCTTATAATATATATAGTTATATTAGACCAATGCTAATAAGACTGGACTTAGTAATGCTAGTAAGACTGGACTTCAAAGTTCCAGTGTTACTGTTAAGCTATTAGAAAAGCATAATGTATTTCCTACAGATGTGTTTTCTGTCAAATGTGCTAAAGGAGTACAAACATTGTACAAACATTGCAAGATTGAAGATGATGGAAACACATGACATGTGCTCGATATGAATTTTTCATTAACCTTAAAACAGACTGATTCAATGCCTTGATGGCCAAGTTGTTGAAAAACCTTTGCAGAATTCAAGAGAACAACATCTAAATTTTGTTACATCGTCCCATAGAAAATAAAGTTGAAGTTCAAGACTTTTGAATCCACAGGTTATTGATAGAGCTGTTTACCTTGATGCCGTTGTTAGCCCTGACACAGTGCCACATCTTGGTGAGGACGTCCTCCCCACTCCTGAGTATGTTCCTCCTGCGAGGGGTGCCACTGCCCACCCTCCCCACACCTCCTCCCAACCTACACACACAAGGAAGGCAGGAAAATACAGGTAAGTCCTGGTCTGACATCAACTGCTGCTTAGATAGTGGGTTCATTTTTTGACTTGGTCATTTTTTTTTAAATCAGGGAACCAACAAATCAAATTGGTGTGGCCTACAGTGCTGACATTTAATCATATTAGCATCACTCTCTGCCAACTAACTTTAAGTTTAACTGCACAAGTAAGCATACAGACCAGACAATAAGCAGTCACTCTGGTCTTCTGCAATAGACTGACCCAGTGAGACTTGACCCAGTGTTGATGTCACACTTGATTGAGAGAAGCCACGTGACAAGTCTCACTGGGTCAGTCTATTGAAGAAGACCATAGTGACTTGTCAAAAGCTCTAGGTGAGAAAAATCTCTTATGTTGGATCAAAAGTTTTCTGTCGAATCCTGACATGCCACCGATCTTGTGCTCTTGGGAAAGGCACTTTTCATGGCTTTCCTCACTTTGCTCAGGTGAAAATGAGTATTGTATTGTCCCATGTTGGTGGCGGCATTAATATAAGTTGAAAAACTTGCGTGCCATCACCACGTTCTGCGATTACATGTTTGAATATTTTTAAAAAACTTAACTTTAAATAACATTGTCTGTGAATGTATCTCAATATTTGTATATTGTATATTTAGCACTATCATTTCAGGAAGTTAGATATCATAACTGGTATTACTGTGGTAGATGTGCCCACCTGTTGGTTGGTCCACACACACAGTTGATGATGACTTGTAAGGCTGCCTTCTGTACCTCAGCATCAGGAGTGGTTAGATGTTCCCCTTCTGCCATGCCTATAGGACAGGTGAAGAGATACACTCTTAGACAAGTGTTCTTGACTGAGACTTACATTGGGCTCAAAACACTGAACTGAAGCTATGACCGAAATGGCCGAGCTACCAACACAACTCCACACAGTGTCAGCATTTCAAATACCCACTCTTGCACTAGTACTCTGGCTGCATGCACAAATAGGAATTGCAAAGATTGCAGGTATTTGTAAAAATTTTACAGATTTGCAATGGTTTCCAGAAAATTTCATGTAAAACTACCAGTGTTGTATCCTTCCTCACATACCAAGACTCAAAATACTGGGTGCCTGCACCCAAAATTGGAGCTGTGCACCCAATTTTTTTCTATGGGTGCATCAGTGCACCCAAATATTTTCATAGGTTTACTATGTAAAGATACCTAATGTATACTAGTATACAGTATATTCTTTGCATCTAAATTATATGAAATTATTAAGTCTTTGTTGTATAAGATTATTTCATATGGTGCACCCAAAAAAATCCTGTGCACCCAATTTTTTTGGTTGGGTGCACCAGTGCACTTATCCCCAAAAATGAATTTGGAGCCCTGCATACCCAGGATGATGTTGAGACCGATGGTAGCCGATGACTCCGGCAGAGTGACCGGCTCACACAGCAGGAGCTGGGCCTTGGGAGTGACCGTCAGGATGGCCAGGATGTCCAGTCCCGCCCGGATCGTGTCCGACCGGCCGCCGTAGTTCCTCCACTCCGAGGACAGCGCGATCATCTGAAAAGAGCCAATCATCTGCTTGTTGCAGACATCGCGTTGCAGTCGTGTGTGTTAGACAGGGAAGGGAGGAGACAGGGAAAACCCAAGATACCATGAGTTTCACCAGAGATCAAGACATTGCAGGGCTGGAAATACCACCTACATGTATATTATGCAGGTTAGTGTAGGTAAAACTGGAGCCGTGCAGGTATTTCTGATGTCTAACCTATACCTAACCTGCACTGGTCCATGTACTGAAATTGTAGATACATATTTCTGCATGTGGATTTTTATTTGCTGCACTGCTGTTCAGGACTGGTACAGGTACTACTGTCTTGTAACATTGAATATTACCTGCACCAGACAAATTTTACATGCACCCAGTACAGGTTAGGTACAGGTAGACATCAGAAGTGCACAGCCCCCATTTTGCCTGCACTAACCTGTACATGCAGGTCATATTTTCAGCCCTGCATATACATGTAGTTTCAGTAACCCTACAGAAAGATTTCACCCCTTTTAATCTCAGACACTCTTGATTAGTAGAATACAGCTTCTAAATGGCATCTAAAGTGATTTCGGGGCAGTGAAACTGGTTGTTCAAATTCAATTTTCTGGTCATTCTTCTGTTGAATCAACCCTATCCCATACCATGTGATGTCGTTGAAGAAAACAGAACTGTTGCCTGTTTCATAATAAAAAAATCATATCATAGGCTGGTTCTAGAAATTTATGGGTGGTACCCAAAACAAAGGAACTCAGGTAGCTTGTTTTGGGTCTATTTCAAACACTTCAAGTATGAAATGATGATGAAAATGTGCTAAGAAATGGCAGTAAATGTCAATACCAGACAGATTTTCTTATCCAGATTTGAAAACATTATTGTTTTTGCCCTGTGTCTTCTTTTTCTTCTCCAGACCAATAAGGTCAATGACCTGAACCAGATGTCTGTCACCATGGTAACTGGTGTTGGGTTACATTGTGTTGCAACTCCTGTCACCATATATATGAATGTGTTAAAGTAAGAATTAACAGAGCAGACCATATGAAAAGGTAAACATCATGCATTTGCTTTGCAAATGTTATCTTTCTAGTTTTGTTTTGCTTCCCTGAAATCGCACTGGATGCCTTTAAGTTTAACCATTAGAAGAAGACATTGTCTGACCTGCAGCAGTAGGTTGACTCCTCCCAGGTGGAAGAACTCCTGTGCAGGTTCCCAGTGCCACCTGACAGGTGCATGTTCCACCACCATCTCCATGTTCCCCATCATAGCTTCACGTGTCAGGGCTCCTGCCTACAGAACAACATATCCCAGGACTCGAAATTAACGGTGTTCCGATGGCCAGTGACCACTAAAAAGACAATTTGGGACATTTTTGGGACAATGGAAAATTAGTCAACATCAGAATATCAGCCCTTCTTTTGTTTGGCTCCAGAAAAAGGTACCCCAAATTTCCCATTAAATTTTTACTCTACAATCATACCATGCCTGGAAGTCAGAATGTATGCAAAATAAAGCTGACTTCAAGTACACTTCCTGAAAAACAGGTTGGGACAGTTCATCCTCACTTCGGGACATTAATTTATTTTTAGGACAGTGCTGGGACAACAGCAAAAAAGTTGATTTTGAGGCCTGATATCCTCTCATATTCAAACACGAATTCGGAGAACTTAGACCTCCATGAAATATTTAGATCTTGTGTGATGGTGACTGTGTTCTCTTGTCATTTACCATGGTGTCTTCAAGTCTTTCTTTATCAAGCAAAGGAAAAAACACCAGCTGTTAAGGAGGTCATGTATTTTAAAAAAAACACCTGTGAGAACAGCGAGCACTACCAGATGTAGATGTGATTAATGACTTTCTCCTTCTGGGATAGACTGAACACAACCATGTCCACTACGACCTAAGGGCCATGCGGAAACACAGACGCACACACGGACACACACTCACAGACATACCAAAGACAATACTTCCATTTTTCATGGAGGTAACTATAGTGTGCATGTACATGTAGTCTTATAGTGTGCTGCAAATTAATGATGATCTCCCTTCAAAGAGTTTTGCTGGTGCACCCAAATTTTTTGGGTTGGGTGTACCAGAGCTCCTAATTTAAAAAGTAAGTATGGAGCCCTGGCATAACCACTTTCTAATATTTGGTGAGTATGGTGAAACAAAAAGAAGACGGTCACCTTGTACGGAGGTACAGGAGTGACCGGTGACCCTCCCCCTGTTCTTGATAAGGCCCTCTTCATGGCGTCCACTCTGATGGCCAGGTGTGCCTCAAAGTACCTCCTGAGGGCCGTGCACACATGTTTGGTCGTCTGGCGGCTGGCGTAGATGTCGTCGTCAGACAGGTTCTCCCCTTGGTCATCTGTCCTCAGGATTTGTAGTGTACTCATCTGGAAAATCAAACAGAAACAATATTGTACACTAATTATGTTAACTATGTGTAATACCAGCTTTTAGTTTTGGTAATGTAAAGTGGTCTACAAGGATATGAATGTTTGTAAACCTGTGGCAAGGTGATTAGGGTTGTTGACTTGTTGACTCAGAATCTAAAGGTCCTGGGTTTGAATCCCTGGCAGGCCCCAGTGTTATGGCACACCTATTTCCTCACTCCACTCAGGTGAAAATGAGTACCTAGCTTCAGTAAGGGACGTCCATTTGGATAGGACATAAAGCTATGGTCCTGTATTTGAGGAAAGCCACAAATGTACATGTACACCTTGAGCACGTGCATGTGTTTTGTAGAGATCAAACCACACATATTGAAAAGAGTGAGGGCCCTTCTCGGTGTGAGTGGTTGAAACCTTACAGTCTGGTCTCAGGTTTGGCATCTTGAAAACGTGATAGTCATCTGTTATCTCCATCCTTCCACAATGCTTGGTTAATCTCAATAAGGTCATGCCAATTCAATTTGTTGGTTAAAAAAATATAGTGACAGGGAAAAAAGTAGACTAGGAACACATGTCAAGTACTTTAATTGTTGGGTCAAAACATGACCATTTTGAATCAGAACCTGAATTTTTTTTTTGTAACTCAGAAAAAGAAATCGTGAAGGCGAATCCAACAAGAACCAATTGATTAAATTGCTGTGGCCTTGATACATATATAAATAGACTAACACTACCACATGACAACCGTACCAGATTGTAGAGTTTCCTGAGCCCGTCCTGTCTGTCGAACAGCTCCAGTATGGTCCTGAAGCCGAAGGTGACGGTGAAGAACATGGTGGCATGACAGCGGCCGGACTCGTGTGAACACTCCAGCAGCCACAGGGTGTAGTCTACCAGGTCTGACAGGACGTTGTGGGGCAGGAGACACACCTGGGGGAGCAGAGGTAGAAATACTTCTTTCCAGTTTTCTACAATATTGCAGAATGTCAAAATTTTGTTCTGCAATTCGGAAATACTTGCTGCAAATACACACTTAAAACTCTGGATCTAAACCCCTGGCAAAACAAAATTGCATGATGGTAAAACATTTTCCATGCAACTTGAAAAATACATGCAAAATTAGTATATTGTAGAGTCAGTAGTAAACACAAAAGTGTTTACCAACACCATTCAACCCCTATTCTGATTTTTGGCCACAAAATTGCAGGTTGCTTAATTTTTCTTCTGCAATATTGAAAATGTCTCTGCAAAATGCAGACTACAGATGGGCATTTTCAAACACTGGGGAGTATGTAATGATGGTACGGGTAAGGTTCACTTATTATGGCTTAACCACTATGTGGTGATGACATATTGTTTTCCGTCATGTTTCTTCTCCTTCTTTTTCTCCTGCCATTTCTTTAAAGGGATTCAACTCTGCCATTTTTGGGCCAAATAACATGAAATTTGGCATGAAGGTAGAGTGGGCACATACCCCCATGCTTGATTTTAATTGTCAATGCTATTCTCTTTTAATGTATATAATGTGTAAGTTTTTAATCTGTAACACTTTGTGTAATTCAGCCTACTTGGCTGCCAATACAATGTGAATACCGGTAAACAGCATTCGTTCATTATCATGTAGAAGAACACCACACAAAAAAATGTTTCCACCCACCCTTTCCATGGCGTCCTCGTTGTAAGCCAGGTAGTAGAGACACATGGACACACCGGTGGCAGCCATGGAGGGGCGGTGCACCTGCAGTAACTTCTGCAGACCACCCTGTGACACAAACTCTGCAGCAAACTTCTTATGGCACAGCAGGGCAGCCAGCCACTGGACAACAGCATTAGAACATTAGTGCTGTGTACCTAAATTCAAGTTTAGGTTTGGATTCGTTCTAGTCCGTAGGTTTTGCATGTTAGCAAACATTAAACATGCAATGTGAAAAATACATGCAAAATTGCTGGTACATGTATATAGTCAGTAGTGAACACAAAAGCTATTAAAATTAAACAGTATCATACAGCTGCAATATACAATTTTTTACAATCTTTCTCAGCTTAGTAGTACATGTACAAAAAATGTATTAACATACATTGTACATACACAGTTACAGGCAACGGTACCTACAATGTAGTCCCAAATGTACATGAGTGTAATACATACTTTGCTTAATGTATACTTTGCATGTAAGAATTTATCTGTAAGTAGTGACACCTGTGCTTTGCAATGTGAACCAGTCAGAATTTCCCTGAGAAACGTGACAGACGGTCAAACTCAAAGGAAAAGTGTCTCTTTATTCAATGAAATCAACTTCTCACAGGCAGAGAGATTGTACCTTGAGGGCATCAAAAGTGAGCCTGACATCTTGTGTGTTCCTGAGGTCCATGTAGTAAGTCACCAGGTCCATAGCACCCAGCTCAAAAAATGTAGCCAGCAACTGGAGTCACACAAAAAGTCAAAATCAAACAAAGATTTGTCTATATAACTTTTCAAACCATAGAATGGAAGTTATCAGACCTTCAACAGACATATACGATTTGCATGGTTATTCAACTACCTTCCAGGGTTGGACAAGTCCCATTGCCCACTTGCCCAGGGCAAGTAAAAGCACTGTTCGGGCAAGTGAATATCCCCCTGCACTTGCCCGATTGGGCAAGTAAATTTTTTGGATGCAAAGTATAGCCCCTGCAGTATTTTGACCAAGTTTCAAACAATTTTGATAAATTAAGCATCCAATATTATAAACTCTATCATGATAAAATAATTCCTTTCTGCTGGTAAAATGAATAGAAATACTTCATATTTTGGGCAAGCGAAAAGTTGGTTCGGGCCAAGTGGAAATGACTCCCTATCTGGTCAGACTGCTCCCAAACTTCAGTCAACCTTGGTTGGTTGGTGAAGGTTCTGAATGTGTGACAAGGGCCTAATGTACGATGTAAGATGTTTTTGTCCAAATATAAAGTTGTTTTAAGAAAGATGTTTTTGTGCAAGTGTCTACTCACCTCCTGATACTCGCCCAGTGGAGTCAGGTACTGCAGGATGAGTCTCTGCTTCATCACCAGGTCCAGGGGGTACATCTGGTGTCGACCAATCAGGTACGGCACCTGCTCCTTCCAGCTGCTGTTACTGCAGTCGTGCAGGGAGAGCGACATGGAACTGCCGGCGCGCGAAGGCACTTTCAGCGGGGACGCGAACATCCCCGCCGCGGGGAGCGAACCCTCCGTTCTAGTCCGTTTGCTCGAGCTGTCATCGTCTGTCGCCAGCTGCCTTTTCCCCGTGCGTTCGGCGCTCTTTGGTGTGGTGGTGGTGCTGCTGCACCCATCAGTTCTACCACTAGGGGGCAGCGATGTGCGTATTGCTGCGTCCTCCGTATTGCCCGGCCCGTTAGCTACCCCCACGTCTCCGGCACCAGAGTCTGTAGGTTTGGGTAGCTCCACTTTGGTCGGCGTGGTTACGGGGCTTCCCGTGCCGTCCGGACTGGAGAAACAGGCAAATGGCCTGTCCATGGTCACACCGAAGTCTTCCTCTGACTTGTGACACCTCTCCCTCTCCATCTGTTCTCTCAGGCACTTCAGTTTAGCCAACATCTGAGGCACCTGGGAGGGACGGATGAAAGACGTAGTTTTGTGGTTAGGGTTGTTGACTCGGAATCTGAAGGTTCTGGGTTCAAATCCCTGGAAGGCCCCACTGTTTTGTCCCTTTTCTTACTGATAAACATGGGTACCTAACTTTGGTTAGCAACATGTCGAAGACTAAGGAAGGAGTAAAAAAAAATACATTGGATCTTCTACTATATACTACATATACTATACAACAGTTTCTCAAGCAATAACTGGACAAACTTCAAAAACTGTCAGACAATTCAAGTACATTGTAGCATCCAATACTTCTCGTCAGTGACTAATGGAATCTGGCATTTATAAAATAAACTACAGATCAACATGTAGATTAGATGAAGACATAGGTGACAGGTTTCTAAGACTTTCTAGACTTTTCTAGACATTGTCAAAGATATCTACATCATCTGGGCAAAAATGTATCCAGTCAGCTGTAGATATCTCAGGTTATTGTAGCACACTATTACCAACTGTCGTGCACAGGGATAGCACTACAGCCTTCTCAAGATGTGCATATACACTAAATGTGGTCATAACAAGCAAGTGTTGAGCCTCACTGTTACTTTAAGTACAAAAATAGGTACAAGCAGGTAAACTTCATCAATATCCTTCAAAAGTTTTCCTGATTTCTCGTCTTTCAAGTACAGTATTCTGGTCTTCTTGCTGTAGAATGTTTTTTTACATGTATGCACTTACCAGTTCAGAGTTATCCTCCCTGTAATTGGTTGCAACATCCTGCGTTTCCATGGCAGCAGCCAATAGGCCAGTGGCATAGGAACTCAGCGGCTCATGCTCTAGCTTGGTCCACCTGAACAGTCTCTCTACAATGCCATCCTGAGTAACATAAACAGTGAAACAGGCGCAATGAACAACACATCATAGATAGCCTTATCAAGTCAATGTACACTAGTCTTTGATAATACTGTTGCTGGGGTCCCTTACACAGGGTTGGCCAGCAGGCAACTAGTCTTCACACTGTGATTTCAAGGCAATTTTTAAATCTTGATCCTGCTTTTTGCGGGCAAAAATTTTGCTGGTAGAGTAAGCTTACTTTGAATGACATTTCTTTCACATTATGAAAGAATCAATATTTTTACACGCCAATGTTTGTCCATCAAAGATGACAGGTTAGGCAAAATTTCTGTCTGTCAATAGCAGTGAAATTCCATCAAATGACAGGGAGATGGAGACTGGCTACTGGGTTGCATCCTTAGAGAGGTTACACACAATTTTTAGGCAATGTGCTTTGAGCTTATCCTATGTCCTAATCGTTACACCTCACGCTGCTTTACCGTTTCTTGAAAGACGACCGACGTCTCCAGACCGGGTAGGATGTCGATAAGGAGTCGGCAGGCCGCGGTGACAAGTTCAATGTTATCTCTCTCCTGCGTGAGGATGTAGTTATTCACCAGTGTGTTCATGAAGTCATTGTCTTTAAACAGAGTCTTCAGAACAAGCCCAAAACCACTGTCTGGATCTGCTCGCCCTGGAAAGAGAGAAGAAATGAAGATTTACTAGTTCAGTTGATCAGCTCAAAAAATTTATGTCCCTTGCCAGGGGGTCCATACAAAAAAGGCCAGGGTCGGCAGTTTTTTCTAGGGTCAGTCGGGAAACAGGTAACACAGCATTTTTTCCTAGGCCTGACATAACAAATACAAAAATTGTACATTGGAGCTTTTGTGTTATTGTGTACTTTGGAGCTTCTGCATGCTTTTAGTTTCTCTCCTCATCTAGGCATAATTTGTCAAAGATATCTACATCATCTGGGCAAACATGTATCCAGTCAGCTGTAGATATCTCAGGTTGTTGTAGCACACTATTACCAACTGTCGTGCACAGGGATAGCACTACAGCCTTCTCAAGATGTGCATGGACCCAGCAAAGTATATGTGTTGGCAGAACGTACTGCACCAGCGCTAAACCTGGATTTTTACAGCTTTTGTTGGAAGTTGGATAAGTACCAGTAGTGTTGTATCAGAACTTTGCCTGTTGCAGACCACATCTTTTCCCAGTTCTGACACAATATTTGAAAGCTATAGATAAATGTTATCCTTAAATACACAAATACGACCTTAAACAAGATGTTCTATCGAAGTGCTAAGCACAATACATTACGGGTTTCACCCAATCCACACCTGGATGTCTGTCGTCAAATGGATCTGGGTCCTGCCCAAGATACTCTTCTGTCTCCCTCTCCACAATTTCTGCCAAACTGAAGGGAAAAAAGCAGAACATTTTTTTTAAATATGCCCATACCCTCTCAATTTTCCTGCTCATAGTCATATCAAGAGTATTAACCTTCTCCCTGCTGCCTAACCCCATAACCAATACAAATTTGGTGCCAAATGGCTACCTTAGCAGACTACAGGTTAACGCCTACCATTACGCCACATGACATCACATAGTTGGGGGCCGCATGCCCTTTTCCGTACAGCGTAGACGGGCCACTCTAATTCAACGTAGAGCGTAATTGGCGCATTTTGCTTAGAGCGTATCAGCCGTTTTAATTCCACATAATGTGTTGTAGCCACTTGGAATTTATCGTAAAGCATAATCGAGAGATTTCCGAATTCAGCATAGAGCGTTGTCGGGACCCCCATGCTGACCCCCATAGTTTAAAGGGAGGAAACCAGTATTTACCTGTTAATAGTGGGCAGGGGGTCCACTGCGCTGCCCATGTCCCTCTCCCACTGCTGGAGGATAGTCACCACTGCCTCCACTGATGGGGACGTGTTGCGGGACCCCATCTTGTGATGATGCAAACTTCTGTTGGAAACAACAGGCAAACACAAACAAACGTTAGTGCTCAGCATGATCTGACATAGCCTGGGCACGGTCCTTTTTGTATTTTCAGAAGCAAGTATGGAAGCCCTGGTATAGGATGGCACCCAAGCTACAGGTAGATCTGACAAGTTCTCCTGCACTTTTTCAAGCAACCAAGGAGAAATTTGGACATCTAAGAGTTTTCAATGTTTTGTAAACCCTTTGTAAGGTAAACCTATTACAGAGTTGCCTCTTGGATATCAGTAATATCATATAGTTAAGGCATAAATTACTAGGCAACATCATCACACTGTAGTTACTAGCCTCTACCAGGCTTCAGAAGTGGCTGAAAAGTGTAGAAATTGGCCAAATAGACAATGACAAGCCAGGAGTGTTGGGTTGACGTTAGGAGTACAGATTGCCACTTCTGAAGCCTGATAGAGGCTAACAAGTTACCCCTGTACGATGAGGATGTACCTTGACCAGCCTAAATCCGCCATAGCGATCCAAATGTCAATGCAACAATGTAGAATGTCACAATGATCAGTTTATTTCCATGACATGTTAAATATATTATATGACAATGCAACACATAATATCCACTTAATGTACACTACAACACATTGACAATTGTTATATCATATAGAGATGATATCATCTTTATCACAATGAAATTGACAACAACCTCTATAGCTACACTATTCTAACTAATGTTAATGTGATAGGGATTATGCATTCTGCATGGTCCATTAGGCCAAGCTCCATTATAACAATTAAATAGGCCAATTTTTAAACCCCACTCAGACCATTATTGAGTCATCCCTAGGCTGACATTGTGATGTTATTATACTCATCTAAGGCTTCAGCTTTAGAGGTCAGAGGTCAACACAGGTAAGTGGCCTAGTAACCTAATTATTTTATTACCCCCTAAGTAATATAATACATTGATTTCTAGAAACAATGTACTGGAGTTAGTGTTTTATGTTTTGTTTTAATGATCAGGTCTATCATTCAACATATTACAATATCATTTTTAACAATGTAAATTGGTCCATCAGTGCTGGATCATGTTCGGATTTGTCTCTTCAACTCATTGCGCAATAAAATTATGACTATAATAACCAAGAATAGTCCACATCGTATTTCAAATCCACTGTTTAGTTGGCAAAATTTACCAAAATGTGGGGAAAACTCAGGTATAGATGATAACAGTTCCCTGTATCTATCCACAGCAATGTGCATTATGGAGAAAAAATATGTTTACATCACTTTGGTGTAACTACACCATATTCGTTTCTTTGTCAGCTATGATGCTTAAAAACAGAAAAAGACTGAGTATTTTGCCCTTATATGCTTGTACATCAATCAGGAGCAAAACTTCTGTCGTTTTGTTGTTCTGTAACTTGTTTCTCAATATTGTTGTTCAGCCACCCATTCATTCCCTACAGACGCACAGGACTTTCCAGCTGAGAACCAAAACTCTTGACAAAACTTCGCAAATTTTCGAGCCCCATAAACCCCCGAAAATGGCCCTGATCGTTCACAAAATCCCTCCTGTGGGCTTCTCTTACTTTCTTCTGGAGGCTTAAGACTATAAGCGACCAGATAGCGTGTGTAAAATAAGGCTATAAGGTTGTTAGAAGTGGTAAAAAGATGTATAAACGTACCAAACTTTGTAGCAGGCTCAGTTCTGCAGCGTGCTTCCAAATCTCGCAACAAATGTCGAACCTGGCGAGATCTCGCAAATCGCGAGACTTCGCTCCGTTTCCCATCCCCAGGATGCATTGCGAAAAGAGGGGTCTAAACCTCATTTGCTAGGACAGGAAGGCATCGGAATGATCCTGGTGACGTTAAACAGCTTGCTTTTCACTGTGTTTTGAGGTGTTGGGGCATTTTATGCTCAACATTAATTAAATGGGTCGAATCTGACAACAAATAGAGAATGAATTTAGTTTTAACATGGAACATGTGGTTTGTAACGTTACAGCATCAGTATAGCGTTATCACTATGACGTCAACAAACCACATTCATTCCAAAAATTTCATTTTCTAATTGTTATCAGATTCAACAGGATCATTCGATGCCTTCCTGGTCCAATCCAAATGAGGTTTAGACCCCTGTTTTCGCAATGCATTCTGGGAATGGGAAACTCGTGAATGCGGGAAACAAGATGGCGGACGAATCAGACGATTTTTATTGATGATCGCACAATCGGAGATATTAATGACGATTATGAATAGAATATCCAAGTAATGAACTTCAATTGGCTGCGTAACAATTATCTAGTACTCGGGGTGTTGTTTCTGACGGAAGTGACTTCAGAACTAGGGGAAAAGGGTGAGTTTGAGCGCTTTTTTGACGCGGTTCAAGTTACGTGTTTGACAACAACAGTCACGGGATGTTGTCATCCGTTCGGTTTCCTTTGATGAAATGATTTTCCGTAGATTTTTCAAAAATCTGCACTACATGTTTTCTCTTCTTGTTGTCCGTGTGCTGATATGTTAACAGAGTTAAACCTACATGAAAAAAATTATACAAAACCAAGGAGTTCCTCTTATGAAATTATAAGATTCATATTATATATATTAATATGATATAATTTTACGTGTAAACAGAAAGACACTTCCGGGCCGGGGATCGAACCCACGCTCATAACCCCGACGCTCTAACCATTCGGCTAAAAGGTCTAAACCCATCAGACGGATCAGTTGGTAGTGCCTAACTTTTCATGGACGAGACATATCATCATGACACATTTTGATGTTCCTCAAGTGTCAGTAGCCAGGAAACGTTTGATAATTTGCAGGCGATAATTTGTAACTGATCTGTTTGTCTAAATTTGCCTATTCCAAGACTTGCACTAACAAGATCTGACAGGATTTAATTTCAGTTATCAACATCAGCATATATCATGACATTGTTAGTCCAGGTCACAACCTTTTAGGTTTTTAAAGATAATTTATTGGAAAAGCCTGTCCTAGTGACTGACTTGGCTGCCATATACATGTAGCTTACTTGTGAAATATGTGCCAAGAATGTGGTGGAGAATGTCACACATCTTAAAGAAGCCTCAAGTTATAACCTTGAGGATTCTATTTCTTGAACACTGTTGCTACATCATGTGCTCCTACATTACCAAGAAGGTCTCTTAAAATAGTTTAAACCTTCTTGATGTTACGTACCTCCAGATGTTTTTATGTAGTCATGAGAGAAGTGAAATGTACCTGACCTGCCTTCAGCATTATTCGTATCTATTCTAAAAGGATGGCTTGCATTTTCTGCAGGGAATCTTTCTTCCAACATTAGTGGACATTACCAGCACCTGCCGGCAGTCACAACTGGAAAAGAAGACAAGAGCATCAAGGATTCTACTTTGTGGGAAACAAGGAACATCACAGAGAATGTAGTGGACACAGGAACATTTTACACCGATGAGAGCCGACTCCAGCCAAAACTCTACTCTCCTGAGAAGCTGGCCTTTAGATCTACCTACTCAACAATAATCCTATCAACTACTACTAGTACTACTCCAGTCAGAGATTCAGCAGTTTTCTTACAGGCACTCCACTCAACCGCATTCCATCTTTCTACGCCAGTTCCAGTTTTCGGAAGGCACAAAGGACTCGAACCAAGCCAAGGAAACTTTTTTACTACTCTTGCCTCTACAGAAATATCGCAAACAAAGTTGATCACGAGTGTTGCCAAAAGTACTGTGGATCTACCCAACATCATTTCAGACTTCTCTTCTGTTGATGCCAACAAGACTGTTAGCAGTTTAGCCGTTTTTGCAGAGAGTCCTCTGAAAACTGTTTTTACATCGTCGTCAAAGTCTACAGTGGAACTAAGACCATCTCCAACTTGGAGTCAGATTGTTTTGCCAATTTCAAGCCCAAAACAAACCCTTAACCCAACAGATATACCTGTGCCAGGAGGCAGAATGTTAACGTCGACTGCCATGACTTCGAGCATTACAGAAATGATGAACAGTACTCACCCCACCCCGGTGCCTCCCGCCCAGTCAGCGTTCACCCCTACCCCTGGACTCACCCACCCGCCGGCTGCCTTACACCCCTCCACATCCACACACAGACTCCACAGCATCTCCAGCCTTCTTATATCACCTTCCTCCATACCTGCTGCTGATGGGACGTTACAGAACTTTACGGAACCGACATATCTACCACCACAACCTGGAGAGCACCACAGTACAGCACATATTGTGCTGGTTTGGGTGTTTGCACCACTAGGGACTCTCCTGACAGTATTATTCCTTGTTGCACTAGTAAGTACAAGGTGACCTTTTGTACATGGATAACATTTTTAGTATATAGCATTATCCTTGTCTACATTAAACAATTATGTTGGAATAGTATACTCTTTGTAACAATTCGTACAGTCCATGATCTATGTCAAAGTACCTCCTTAAAATTATCTAAAATTTAAGGTTCTTAGCCTTCTATTCTGTAAAGTAATTGCTTAGTGTAGATTGATTAAATGTACTCTCACCTCACGCTCTTGGGACTCAGAGTGAAAGAGTGTTTTGGTCTTATGAGACAAATTGACCATATTTGAATCATGCCACTTATATACATGTACATACATATCCGTATAATGCATCCCTCAGATTTATGATACATTTTGTAGAAGGTGATGATTTGATGACTTGTACTTTTCTGTTTTTCCTTCAGGGTTTCTACATCAGAAAGAGGAGAAGGTATGTTGACATTGAATTTCAGGGCAAACACATACACAATCTAATTTCTGATTTTTATGTTTAGCGTAGGAAAACATATTGTTTTGCTATGTTTCCTCTTAATTCTTCTTCTTCCACAAACCAAAAAGGTCAATGACCTGAACCAGACTGTCTGTTACCATGGTAACTAGTGTTAGGTTACATGTTGCAATTTTCTAGCAGGAGGGATTTAGACTCCTGTCACCATATACATGTATATGAATGTGTTTGAGTAAGAATTAAGAGAGCAGATCATATGTCAAGGTAAACATTATGCATTTGCTTTGCAAATGTTACCTTTCCTCTAGTATTTTCATGGTACTTTTATGGTACTTTTATGTACATAGTTCTAAAACCTAGAGTCTCATACATTTCTTACGTTACAGACTGGAAAAGCTGCGTCACCAGCTGATGCCTCTCTACAACTTTGACCCGTCTGAGGAGGGGGATGACTGGGAATCTGAGCTGCTAAATGAAGTCAAGGACACTTCCAGTCTTGTTTCAGACCGTGGAAAGGTATGGTGGTTTTGAAATGTCATCATTATGTTTGTCTTTCCAGAAGGAAAACAAATTATTTTTGTTCCGCAAGTTCTTCTTCTTCTCCAAATAGACAGGGTCAATGACCTGGACCAGACATCTGTCACCATGGTAACTGGTGCTGTAGCAGACACAAAGTGGTGTTGGATTACATGATGTAGCAAGACAGAATTTGAGGGGCTGGTCACCATATACATATATGTGAATATGTTTGATTAAGAATAAACAGAGCAGCAGTTTGTAACTAAGCCTACACCATGAAAAGGTAAACATCATGTACAAAGTATTTGCTATGAAATAGGAACCTCACTAAAGGAAACTTAACAAAGTCGATCCTTTGTTCTTAAGACATTGATTTTCTCAAAAGCACTAGTAGTAGTAGTAGTATAATCATAATAATGTGGTCATTTAAATTATCACAGTACATGTAGATGCTTGTATTTTTCTGTAATGCTTAAATGTTTTCCCGTCTTTTCCTCAGTCACAGAAGCTACACTCTCCACCCAACCCAAAATTAAGCTTCAGCTCAGAGTCCACAGAGTTGATGTGACGGTGTGTACCTGTGGGGACCACACTTTCCAAGCTTTGTCTTCAGCTATATTCCAGTTTTTGTTCCTGATTAGATGTACATATAAGCGTTACGGAGCTGATTATGCATTGTTGACAGTGCTGTTTGTTGTTTACTAAGATGCTATACCAACATTTGGTTTGGTAAGATCATGTCACGTAAATTATGATTTTGCTTGCAGGGCTTTTGGTCAGTAAAACAGCTTTATCTGATGCCATACTTGACAGCTAGATCACAGATATAGTCCGGATCCTCCTGAATTTTATGGAACTAGATAGTGCTTTGGCAGAACATACTGCCCCTGTGGGAAACCTGTTACGTATAGTGCATAGCACTTTGGTATAAAATCCCATCTGTATTCACATATTTAAGGATCACATCCAGTCGATAGTTTTAAAGTGTTTTGTCAGAAAAGATACCGTCTGCTATGGGAAAAATTCTGACGTACCATTGACCAAACATCCAGTGAAAACTGCTGACGTGCCACACAACATAAAATTAACGAATTGATCTAAACTGCTGGCAGGCTGGTATACTATAGTACTATAGCGTTGTGTTTCTTACTGTGCGGGTAGTTATATAACTTGTAATGTTTAACTGACGTAAAGAAAATCATGAAGCATTTTGTTTGCATTCAATTGATAGTGGTACCATTTATGGATAAATGTTGTAAGATAGTCATTGTGTTACCGAGTGTACTTCCAATCATGAAAGAAAAGGCAGGCCCATTAACAAACTTCACTATTTGAGCAAATGCCCATCCTTTTGTATCTTTGAAAAGTCTTACCTTAGTGTTGAAACAAAACTGTTACTATTATTCTAAAAAATTATTGGGAAAACTATATTGGTCAGTTGATTTTTTTCTCAATTACTTGTGTGGAAAGGCAGACCATTCTGTTTTAGCAGAAAGTTTAGATATGATTCCAGTTTTAGAATAGCATTCCATTTACCTGATGTAGGCATGGTACCTCAAGGAATTGTACTCTTCCCTCGATAAGTCTTCAATGTGTAAAAGTGCTTCCCTTTTTTTATATATCAACATGTTACACCAACTCTTGCCAAAATATAGCAACATTCTGGTCAGTAAACTCTGTGCCTAAAACCTTGTGTGTGTATATACAGTAATAATAGCAATGTGCAGTTCCTGTCTATATATTTTGTCAGTATGATGATCATGGACAAAGAATTGTGGTTTAAATGATCATTGTGAAGTGCTGCAGTGACTATTGATGTGTGTACATGTATAAAAAGGAAAATTGTCACAATGATGTTGGTCTTAAACCTAGTGTGCCTGAAGAGAGAGATTATGTGTTGTATGTATGTATTTATGGTAGTAGTTGTGGACTTGGTAAACTGCCTTGTATTTTCTTTTGAACAAGCCCTTAGAACATCTGAGGTTATACTTTTCCATAGACAATGTGGACATAACATTATGTTTTGTTTCTGCAAAGGCAACACCAAGAAGTTAGGATATGTGTTTTAGATTATATATCTTATTATGCTTGGTCTCCAGTTGAAACCATCTGTAATGTAATGACAATGTTGGTAGCAAACCCTCATGAGGATACAGCAGTGTGTTTCCTAGCCTGACTAAATCTGCACTCCTAGCGGCCGGCTTGGTATTACACCAGCCGCCCCCCTGTGTGTAATACTGGGCCGGCCGCTAGGAGTGCAGATTTAGTCAGGCTATGTGTTTCATTGGTTTTCTGACATTTTGAGGACATGATTGATACAAAAACAACATTCTAGTAAAAGAAAATTGTACCTACAAGCATTATGAAGCAGCTAGGTTCATATTGTAAACATATACATGTACAGTATGTACATGTACTAAGTCAACACAACATACAGTTTAACTTCAACGTATTGAAAAACTCAGTGAAAACACGGATGTGGTTTGTTAGTTAGTTTGTGTGTGTGTTTTGTGTATCTTTGCAAACCAGATTACAGAAAAAAACAGTGAAAAGTTAAACTGTACATTTGCTGCTTTTCCAGGAAAAAATGTGTTGCTGTAGTTAAGTGAGAATTTAAGTGTTTTAAGTTGAATTGAGAAAAAGATTTATATAGTAATAGAGAGATATATGCATATTTAAATGTGTTTTGAATACATGTATATGTATAAAATTTTGTCATTGATATAGTGTATTAAAACAGTCAACTGGCTTTTTAAGAGTATGTGTATGGTACATTTGCACAGCATCTGCACCTTACTTCCTCATATTCAAAAGTTTACATCACACTATTGCCCTGAAGTTTGCCTGCTAGACAATAGGGGGCGCTTCTAGAAGTGCAGCTTTGGGATAAAATGGTGGACAACAAAAGCAAGGCAGACATTATTGAAACAATCAACTTGTAGAATCAAGTGTATTTGATCATTTGTAACAAACATACCTGTCATGTATTAATTTAAAAATGGCAAAGTCTTATCACAAATGAACTAACTGGAAATTGAAGGAAAACAAAGAAAAATCTTAAAATTTCAAGGTCTGCTGCTGGCAATATCAAGGTAGAATGTAGGAATAATTTAGAGCCCATATGTTCCTCCCATGTACATGATTAGTGGCTGTATGAGTGACCTTTCCTCGTGTGCTTAAACCCAATACAGTGTACTAGTATACAGGGGAGGAGGGTTATGTTTTCTGGCAAGTACACATTTTCTGGGTCAGGAGATGACAAAGTGGGTCATCCCCTGAACAACTCTAATCTGGCAGGGCCTATTATAACTGTACTAATCAAAAGGTTTTATGTATGGAAGGGTCAGATGCTTCGGAAGCCTGCCTCATTACTACATGTAAATATGGCGTACGTCAGGCAAAAATGGAAGTGTTTCATTTAATTAGAAATGTTTCCTCAGTACATATGTATACATGTAGCAGGATCATCTGTTGTTTCGAATCCTGAATCTTTAAGCGGTATTGAAAGATTTTTGTATCCCATGGTCGAATACGAGAATATTCAAAAGAATATTCCAAAGTAGTCGCTACCAAAGCCTAATATATAATAGACGAACAACTTACCACTGAGTACTTCCTGCCCGAATTGTTGGTGCGCCTAAATTTAACATTAAGTTGAATACCCCTCATAATTGCGCACTAAAATAGCAATATAATAGCATCTGATTACCATGATAGTAATGCAAAGGACGTTATCTGGAGATATGAATATGTTTGGGGAGAGACAGTCACCCCACACACGTTTATAAAGAACCCACCACACCTTTTGGAACAGAGTAGGGGCATGCCCTGGTGTGCGATGCGAACCTACGTCTCGTATTAGCCACATGGTGATGTACATCATCACCCTACAGAGACCTTGCAACCCCGTCTATTCTTGTATCAGCGAACTGAAATGAGTATAGACGGATCAGTTAAACCCGCTATAGTCAACCAACTGCCACTTTGTTAGGCTGCACACCGACTTAATTTTATGGATGACATCCACGCACGCATTGATTTTCGCCTGTTCTCAACAAAAAAAAAAGATCACGTTCACCGAAGCTCTGTTCTGGCTCTAGGCCTGGATAGTCCATGGTAGTTAGTGACAATACGAAGCCAGGCACCCAGGCTTCTGAAGCTCCACGACTCAAGAACTCTTGTTGTATAACACATCGCTAAGTATTGCCGCAAATTCCCAATACCAGCTTTGTATTCCTGTGGTTCAGTAGCATTTTTATTCTTGGTCTTCGGAGGATGTCATCCATCGGTGGCCTTAGTCTACAACACAGGTATTATGAGCCAGAGACTTTTCCTTCTGCAGCCTCAGTATATCAGAGACAAGTATTTCTCCTCCAGACATATTTGGGAGGGAATACTGTATGTGATGCTCATTGCTCAGCTGGGACCTGACCTAATCATTGCTCATCCTGAGGCCCATTGTGTGTATTAAAAAAATTGATGCTGTGCTGGCCTACATAGCCACAACAGAAATGACTAACACTAGTAACACTTCAAGCTTCAATCTTTTAACCCTGCCAGTGTCAAGACCAATTATTTCATTGGGGCTATGTCATTTCAATAGTTTGGGCAATTGAATGGTCCTTACCTGAATTTTTTCACTCAATGTACAACAAACAGTGACAGTTAAGATATAGAATATTTATTTAAGATATAGAAGGAGATAGAAAATCCCAGAAAACACTCAAATGACATCATGATGTTGTACATAAAATTGAATACAAAACAATCAGGTAAGTACACATTTCAAAAGATATTTTTAAAAGGGTCACAGCCATTGGAAGCTACATCATGTATGTACATACCTGCTGTAGTAAAATTACAACATGTTTTTGCCTGAGCCAAGTCTAGAAAATTCCCTGAAGAATGGATCGTAAAATTGACACAACATTTTGTTTCTTAGAATTATATTCGTTGCCCATGCATCTCTAAGAATGTTGATTTTTTTTTTTCACTATGTTATGCACATACGTGATTTAACCTCTGCTCATGCAATCATTATTGTCTCATCTGTTGGGCACGATTTTGCAGTTAGAATGGTTGATTAAAGGGAATAATTCAACCCATCGGTTTAATTGTTTCAGGCCAAAGGACAGAAGGGATCTGATGCGCCTGGCTGGCTGTGTCTCCCGTGATTACTAATTACTAATTATGCCACACCAATTTAATTTGTTGGTTCTCAGATTTTTTCAGAAAAAATATGAAGAGACAGGGCGAAAAAAATGAAAATAGAAACAGGTCTAGGTATCCTATTATAGCCCCAAATACTATCATAGCAGCCATGAAGTCAACACAAAAGGCAGGGTTCATATTTAAACAATCAATTTTGAACAAATCACTGCATTGGTATATAGAAAAACTGTAACAACTAGGAAGAAAAGGAGAAAAATATGAGCATATTTGAGTTGACTCAGAACCAGAAAAAAATGAATCCTAGAACCAACAAATTAAATTGGTGTGGCCTTACAAGAGAAAATCCCTGGAACGAGCCGTCAGACCTTCATCTTAATGAAATCAACACAGAATTTCTAGAGTATTTCGACCTCCATTTTTCCGGGAAAGGCAGCCTAATTTCCGGGAATGGGATTCTGCAACCTGCTGGGTTCCCAGCTGAATAGATTTAGCTACTCTACTAATGAGAGGAAAGGTCCAGGTAAAATTGCCCTGCTTCAGATAAAATTACATGTGCCCACTGTGACTTTGAATATACCGTATTCTGTAGATGATTTTTTCCTATATTCTTAGTGTTCCATTTTTTTATGGGTCAATACAATGTAGTTTGTAAATATTTGTTTCTTAAACATTTGTTTTTCCCCCTTCTTTTTCTGTTTTCCGACTGCAATCAATAGAATCTTTAATACAACAATCTGTTTTGACAGCTAAGATCAAACATCACTCATCAAAAGTGACAGATGCAGAAAGCACCTTCTGAATATACAGTTTAATGCATTCACTGTTGTCGTCCATTAACGTTGATGCCCAAAACCCCTGTTGCACGTCCAACGAGCTTTGGCTGTGTAATTGTTGATTGCCACAAGGTCGCTCGATCTTGAAATAATCACAGAGAGTCGAGTGTATGTTTGCCTGCGAACATCAGCCAGTGATCCCTAAAAATTGTGCAAAGATAGAGAGAGCGTCTGGTGTATTGCTGCCGAAAATGTCATTTCTACAGCTCGCAGAATCGTCGGCCAATCGCTTTTTGTGTGACGGATATTAGGAACAAAAGCGGTCAATCTATGGATGATCTTGATCCAAAACTGCTACTTTTATTTTTAGACCAGAAAGGCTTCTCAATAAACACTGTCTAGCTTTTCGTGATAATTTAATATGCTTAATATTAATCAGGTGCGCTTCACTTTGCACTTGAGACAGGAAAGGGCCATATTTTTGGTAAGACGACTTCCCAACTCTGGGAACAAAGAACTGTTACTTCACAATACTTCATGTTGTGACTATGAGACATTGTTGCACCTTGGAAAGTATTTGCTTTTGCCAAGAATAGAGTAACCAGATATACCATTTCAGTGAAGGTAGCAAATTCTAAAAATAGATAACAAAAATATTACTCTCTCTGGTAACACTGCCCCATATTTTTCCCTTTAGGCCACACCGACTTACTTTTATGGATGACATCCTCTGAAGACCCCCAAACTAGTGCGTGCGGGCGTATCAAAAGATTCTGGCCAAAAATAGAAATGCTACTAAACCACAGGAATACTGGTAGTGTGAATTCACGGCAGTACATGGCAACGTATACGACAAGCAGGCGCATGCTGGCTTTTTGCAGAATTTATGAGTCGGCACTGTACGTATGTACTGAGTTGTGAAGCTTCGGCAGCCTGGGTGCTGTCCTCCATTACCACTGGCTCTGTATTGTCTAACATGGACTACCCAGGCCTAAAGAGCCAGGCCAGAGCCTCTGAGGACATTATCTTTTTTTTTTTTTTTTTTGAGAACAGGCGAAAAGCATTACACACGCAGATACCATCCATAAAATTAAGTCGGTGTGGCCTTTTTGCATAGACTTTCTCACTTCAGGTTCAAAACATCTTCCAATTAGCTTCCAACAAATGGGATGTTGGATGAGGCAACTGCACACCTATGATCATCTCTGTAATTGCTGACTCATATTCTCCACAACGAAATGCAGGAAATCTCAAGTCCATTCTTAATCTATTCACCACCATAACACATCTATCCATGAACAAAGATCCCGTCTGAAGATGTCTGGCTTTATCAAAAGCTGATTTTGTTTTTACCTTATTTAATGGAAGGAGCGATGTCATTTTTTACAACGAGGCCCTCAACTCAGTTGTTTGTTTACAACTTGATCCAGTCATTATCTGTATGTTATGCTGGGCACGAGCTTAAAAAAGAAAATTGTTTTCTAAAAAAGGAAACCAACAAATTTTCAATGAGAAACAAAGTTTGTTTGCAAACTGGTTTGAGTTATAGATTGGTGAGGAGCTACGGTTGAAGAAATCAAACTTAGGCAATAAGGAGAGCTATAAAAAGACAATGTATAAACAACTTTATTGTAATTTGTAGAAAGTACACAAAAGTCCAGCATTCTAAAGCAGTCTCTTGTTCATGTATATCATCACATCGACGCAACTATTCCACAGACCATTTCACACACAGAACACACACAGAAATAGGCCTGTCCTTGGTGCTGAACACCATCCACGCAGAAACAGGCCTGTCCTTGGTGCTGAACACCTTCCACACACAAACACTCCTGCTCCTGAACACCATCCACATACAATCACATCTATCCCTGGTGCTGAACACCATCCACATACAAACACTACTGTCCCTGGTGCTGAACACCATCCACACAAACACACCTGTCCTTGGTGCTGAACACCATCTACACACAGGCAAACACACCTGTCCTTGGTGCTGAACATGATGACAGTATCAAATTGGCACGGCACTACCCACTTGAATTGTCCCCTTAAACAGACTGAGAATTTTGAAAGGTGTCATCCAAAATGGCTTGTTTTCTCAACCATTATGTTCCTGCCTTGAGCCTCTATTACATGTTCATCATGTCTACGTTGTGTATTAACGATGTATCGTTCTGAATTCAATGTCTCTATTATTGAACATCTTGTATATATGCATGCCTTCATTTGTTGCAACCTGTTCAGTCATGTAAGATAGTCTGCACATGCATTTGATTGCACATAGTATGTAGTACTTGTATGTATGACTATGGACACACAGAGATCAGCAAAAACCTCACCAATCACACTGGATCAGGTGTTTCTTATTCCAGCCATGTTGAATACAAAATGTAATTCCTGTGCCTTTACATTTGTGAGATGGGCTGGGACACATTTACTGAACCAATCTGTCAAATACTCTTTTGTAATAAGGCAATATGTTCTAAGTAAGTGCATGCACAATCACGTGCACACACGTACACACACGTACACACACACACACAAACACCTGTCCTTGGTGCTGAACACTCTCCAAACACACAGACGCACCCCCTCCCCCCACCACTACACACACACACACACGTTAGCATGCCTGTCCTTGGTGCTGAACACTCTCCACACACACATGGACGCACCACACAAACACACACACTCTCTCTCTCTCTTTCTCGCTCTCCCTCACACACATACTACTGCAAATTAGGTTTCATAAAAGTGCACAGCTATTTTGAGAATTGTATTACTACCAAAACGATATTCACAAATACAGAGAAATGCTAGACATACGTCTGATGATGAAGTCTACATGTCATACCCATCATATTTCACACCGCAGATTTGAGATCTTGTTAACGAGACATTGAAAAATATACTGGAATAAGACAACACAGCTTATCAGATTGTTTCATAGCTCACTGTTAGATGTTTTCATATTCTGCAATGCTGTTATGCTCAAAAAGAAAGTTTCCCTAAATCCCATACAAGGTCCACAGAGGCCATAATATTTGGGGCACCAGCCACAGAGATATGTCTTTCCTCTGATCTAGAAAACAGTATCTGCACAGAGTGCAAAATAGAATAGTTAAAGGCTGCATAAAATCCTTTTCTGCAACCTACTCTTTTGGTTTCTAAATCCAAGGCAGTTAGCAACTTGTGAGGTGTACCACGCTCCATACTATACCTTTGTGTTGTTTTTTCTTAGAAGTTTATTTATTTATGTAAGTCTCTTGGTTCTCTGATTTTTTTGGTGGTGTGAGGTGATATGACAAAAAAATTTGGTGAGCAACGTCAGAAGAATTTTGAGTAACCTAAATTTGGACAGTTAGGTACATGGTGTTCGTAATGAAGTCTATTTCACACCCTATGTATTATAGTACATAATGTATTCTTACAACACATTGTCACTGGAAAAAGACTCAAGCACCATGAGACTCATCACAAAGATGCATGAAAATATTTTCCTATCTGCTTTCCCTATCCTATTACCTCTTTGTTTGTCTAATACCTGCATATCAGTGCGCATCAGTATGAATTTATCTATCTGAAAAACAGCACATTACAAACCTCAGAGGTAGCCATCATTCTATTAACATCTTGAGGTACAAACTGTCTGATTGGTTAAAAAATATATTCTTTCTCCACCTTGACCAATCATATTATCTCCTTCAGTAGTCATTGACGTATGGCATCATATTGCAATCAATTGTCAGTATATGAAGATTATACATATATGTCAGAGTTGTCTGTACCAAATATCTACACATAACTTTCAAACTATAGAAATGTCATTTAAAACAAATCATAGAAGGTATAAACATATCAACCTTACTATATGTCTACCATAGTAAAACTAAGAACATTTATATTAACTCAAAACCATGAAATTGTACATAAAATCCATTGTTTTAACTACATAACTGGTAATGGCACAAAGAACACTTGAAATCAGAAGTCAATTTTGTTTTAGTTAGTCTTTAAAACTGAATGGTGCATCTACATGTACAGTAGCCCAAAAGTACAAATAGTACTGGCCAAATCTTATGCACTGTAGTAGTATCTTCACAGGTGTCTGCATGGCTCTTCCACCAATGTAAAATTTTTCAACAGTTTGTTAAAATATTTGCACACTCATGTCTTCCTTGTGGTATCAAAAGTTGTTCACTCTGCCCTTCAACATTAGTAATATTACTGACAACATGGATGTAGTGGTAGTTTGAAAACATTTAATTTTTCTCAACTCTGTATATGTGAGCACTCAAAACTTGTCTCAATGTGTGTAAAAGAAATAGAAACTTGCATTTACCGGTAGTTGAGAAAAAACAGAAAGCCCAACAGGTTAGATGTCCAAAGGTTTTGTCACCCTTGTTGTTTATCACATAAAAAAACTGTTTTTCTGTACCATCCACAAAGCTATATACTAGTATTACAATGTGACTTTTTTCATTCCTTGCATACATGTATGTATCAATACATTTCTCTTTATTTCACACCTATATGGGCTGTACCTTTCTCATTTCTGTCTTCATTTTGCTTTTCCCAACAAATTACCATTCTAATGTATTGTTGTGCCAGTAGAAATGAAGTGCACTAAGGCACCTGTAGAGTGCTAATGATTTAATACATAGCCCTCTGTGAAAACTACTCTTTCATGGCACAGCCAGTCAGTTCTTCATGTCATCATTAATTCGAAAGAAGATCTAGCTAGACTGTGGTACTGGTCACATTCAAATGCCATTGGCACATCTGTGAAATCATTAACGGAATCCTATCTGTAAGACCACCTGATCATGACCACAGCACTGGGAGTTTTCATTTTTCATTTCGAGTGATCTTTGAGGAGAAAAAAATAGGACACCTAGTACTAAATTAGTTCAAAGTCCAGAGTCCAGCAAATGCACACCTGTGACAAGACACAGGGGCAACCAAGGGTTGGTTCTTGAAGGTAAAAATGAATTCTGTAGAACAAAAACAGATTTGTGCTGTAGGTCAATTTGTACTGCTGGAATCGCATCACATTATGTGTGTTTGTCATCTGAAATAACAATGTTAAAGTTGTATTTTCCATTAAACAATAGCCTATATTTACCTGTCACTGTACCACACAAAATAAGGAATGTAACCTCCAGAAACAAGACCAACAGGAGATACTATATCAACAGATTCACAGAAATAGCAGTTAAGACTCTCCCTACAATAGAGTATCAGCTACATATAGTATACTACAGTATATTTAACTATATACCACCATCCAGGTTCATTACATGTCAGCAATCACCTTTATCATATTCAAAAGTCACTTTCACTACACTATTTTCATTACCATATCTTTTTATAACTGCATACATCCCCCTACAATTTCTTTAGGCGCTCCAAACTCTACCAACTCCAGACTCGAGCAAACCATATGAGACAACATGTCTTGGCAGTGGATGCATTAATACTGCTCCCAAGGAGTGGGAATCACAGAGCCTTTCATAATTACAATCTTTCCTCCTGTTAACAAGTTCTTTCCTCCACCTGCATGTTATAAGGTTGGCTGTCAGTCAGTCTTCTTCCATACATTGTGTCTTTTTCTACAGCTGAGTGCGGTTCTAACCATCAGTCCTGTAGGCTGTTTGTTTTGTAATAGGAAAGTGGTGAAAAAAGTAGCGGGAAGTGGTTGTCGGGTGTCGCCCGTCCGACGTATCTGTGGTAGCACCAGCTGAGGAGTGGTGATGAGGACGTTACTCCGTCTCCTCCCCCTCTGCTGACTCCTCCTCCTGAGCGGCTGCCGCTGCCTCCGCACCCTCAGCTTCAGCCTCCTTCTACAACAAAATACAGATAAACATCAGTATCTTAGTGAATAATCTGATTTGCAACATCACAATAAAACAGTGTTCTAGCCAGCCTCCGTTTTTCCATCAATTGACAGAAATTTTGCAGCTCATAATGGACACACATTTTGCCTAACCGACAGACAAATATCAGTGTGTTAAGATATGAAAAGAGATGTCATTATAGCCTGGGTATCATCCAGATTTTCTTTGTTTCCAGCGCTGCGGAGCCAAATCCGGATGGTACCCAGGCTAATGTCATTACACTTGACTAAGCTTAGTCTATCAGCAAAATTTGCCCCTTGATATGCAGGAAATAGCATTTCAGAGGGTCAACATTTTAAAATTTACCTCAAGGAGCAAGTTAACACTTAACATGACGTCAAACAAAATTGAGGAGATGGAAGAAAATTTCAGGCTCGCTTGAACACTGTCTTTAAGATTCTGCATGCCTTTTTCTGGGAGGTGAGGCGAACTACATGTATTCTAATTCACCATTAATCATCAGATTGATCCAAAAATCATGGAGCATCCAAGACTAGTTTTGCTAGGGACCCCATGGATACAAAGAATATTCCAATGCAACGATCCCAAAGCCTTACATATAAGTACAACTTAATTTACTATAAAGCATTGCCTGCCTGCCTAAATTTACCAAAAGGGTTGTTTGCCCTCCTAAGCATTGTGATGATCCCCCCATGCAGACCCTCCTTTAAGGCTGGAAATACTTTTTCTTCATGATCATTTCAAGCAACCAGGTCAAATCGACAGAGAAGGCTTTCATTATTACACAAGTTACAGTTAATCCAACATTACACATGCCAAAGCCCTAATTTCATTTACTTATTATCATATGCATGTGGAAGGCTTTCATTATTAATGTAATCATCTCACCTTTGGTTGTGCTGCAGGCTGCAAGGGAGACAAAAATAGAACATCAATTTTTTTACAAAATATGATTGATGCAGAAATATAATGTATATGTTGATATAAGTAGAATGAATTGTCATAAATAAATATCAAAGAAGTCATACTGTTTGCTGGCAGGTTTAACTCATGTGTTACTGCATGGTCTAAGCAGAATTTAATTTTTAAAGGTGCTCAATATAAGATTAGGACAATGTTTCAAAGTCAATTTTCTGGTCATTTCTTTACACAGTAAGTTAAATGAACCCTATGTAATTGCACAATGTATTATATTCTGGGGGTAAAAATGTGACATCATTGTCAAACAGAGGTGTAGAAAAACTGCTAATTTGTTGTCAATATGAAATAGCCACTGTACAATTATTGGCACCTCCATAAAACGAGACCACTAACGAAGGATTCCTTCTATCCTGTATGTCATGAGCACATCAGCAGAACATACTGCACCTGTGCAAAACCTGTGTGTTGTTATGTATTTTGCAAAGCATTTTGTCTGGTTCAAGGATGACAATCAATCTATCGTTTTCAAACGTAGTGTCGGAAAAGATATCGTCTGTGAAGGGCAAAATTCTGATGCAATGTTAACTAAACATCCGACGAAAACCAAGAAAAATCCAGGTTTTGTGCAGGAACAGTGCATTCAACTGATGGTGCTTATATAACTGGCTTTCCTATGAGAAACCACTTCAATACTGATTTTGATTGGCTTTTCCAGGAACCCCCCTTCCCAAGTATCTTACTTAGGCCACAGCAAGTAAATTTTATGGATGACATACTCTGCAGACTCCAAATCTAATGCGAGCAGACGAAAAAAACAAGGTTACTACATTTTAAACTTTCAACTCAATCATTGTACAAATGGTTTTGATTCAGTGGGAACATCACATATACACAGTCAGTATCACATATCACTGCATCAAAGTAAGAAACAAAACATTAATTCTGAGCCTTTTCTTGTCTCCTCTCTCCATAGTTATCTGCCATCCACCTTCCGGCATGGCAAGAGACATCTTCGCCCATTTTCGTCATGTTGACCACTTTCAGAAGGCAACAAAATTTCTTTTTTTTTTTCCAAAGTCAGGCGAAAATTTATGTGCACGCTGATGTCATCCCTAAAAATTACTTGCTGTGGCCTTATGCCTGCTTCCAATGCATCCATATTTGTGCATCCATATTAATGTGCCTGTACTAGCGGTTGCTTCCCCACCAATGTACCAGACCACTCATGGTGGAGCAGCCATTAGCAGCAGACAAGTGTGTGGAGAAAGTCAATAGCAGTCGACTCACAGCAGAGGATAGCAAGACACATTCATCAACAACTTTAAGTTTAATTTGCAAAGAAAAGGGCTCTCATAGTAGAAAAAAATCAGATTCATATGCCCTTGACTTGACTTCATCCATGGTTGAAAAATGCTACAAAAAAAACTAATTTGACCCTGGCATAGGAAAACGCATATAAACGCAAGCAAGGTAACATACATGTACAATCTGAATGTTCTTTACATACATCAAAGCAGTAGCCTCCATAGCATGCCAAAAACTGGGGTTTTTGGGGGTCTTCAGGATCTTTTATGTGCTATTTTCTGATTGCATATAGACAACATAGCCGGCCTGGTTGAATTACCCCAATTTTTAGAACTGGGCTAATCAGAAAACAGCCGAAGACCACCAAACCCCCAGTTCTATAAGCCTGCTATGGAGGCTATCAAAGCAGGATGATTTACACATAGGAAAAATTTGATGTAGACAGTTTTTATACGGTATGTATAGCTTGTGTGCATTTTTGCCTCCATGTGTATATGTAAATAGGGCTAAGTAATCCTAATTTTGTGTACAGAATTATGACTGACCTAGATCGTGATGAAAGGTTTCTGACATTAAAAAAGAAATTAAGCGTATCACACCCTGCATCAATAATTTGATGGCTTCATTGCCGACCTTGCACTCCCATGTTACAATCTATTTTAAAAGTGCAGCATCTGCCAGGACTGTGTTCACCCATTTGTCACTTGGTCCTAATGTTGTTGGCAGGCTTATATGGGGCTAAATCTCCTGTTTGATATCCTCTGAGTTTGATCCTCCTGTTTGATCCTTCAGCTTATGATCTGATATTATAACATAAAGTTATCAAAGGGATTAATTCTGTCATCTCCATATTTCAAGACATCCTAAACAAACACGTTGGCAGAACGTACTGCGCCTACAGTTTTCGTTGGATGTTTGGTCAACGTTGCATCAGAATTTTGCCTGTTGCAGACAATATTTTTCCCGGCATAACATTTGGAAACTACAGACGAAGTGTTAACCTTATATGCGCGAATACGACCTTATAAGAGACGTTCTGCCGAAGTGCTATGCACAATACATTACGGGATTCGCGAAGGTGCAGTACATTCTGCCGACATGCTTCCTAAACACCTGTTGTATGAAGACGTCGGCAGAACGTACCGCACCTGTGCACAAAACCTGGATTTTTCATGGTTTTCGGTAGATGTTTTGTCATTAGAATCTTACCTGTGGCAGACTAACGTTACATCTTTTCCAACACAACAAACAGAAACGCTAAAACAGTACAATGTCTCTAATGTCTGTGATATGTTTACTTCATTTGTACTTTGTACCAGATAACATGTAGTTTTTATAGTGTCTCTTTTATTACTAGTATAATGCATATTGTATTTAGGACACAATTCAGGCAAACCACAAGTTCTTTTCTCAATAAACGTGTAACTTGAATAGACTCCAAGGAATATTCCTATACTTGACATTTTATTCCTTGTAATCAACATAATGCGTGTCCTCCTTTATCAAATCTCTCGCCTATCCTGAGACTTCAGAAAGAATCAATATCTTACATGAGCCATATCAAGGATGGTAAAATATAGAACACACTTCCTCAGCTGTTCAGTATCCAGAGGGAACAGATCATGCTAAATAAGAAAATCTCTTTGATCAATGGATCTCTCTAACCAAACATGGTTCTTGGAATTCAGGGCTCAAAATCCTTTTTTCTGCATACCTGCACTGGTGCAGGTAACATTAAAAATTACAGGCACCAGACAAATTTTACCTGTACAACTGTAGAATTTGACAAGTATGAATCATGCTAAAACTGTAATGAAACCATTGAAATTATTCATTTTATACTTCATAGGTGGTAACAGTGAATGCAGCAAATAAAAATCAACATACTGTACACCTACATCTGTACATTTCAATATAAACACAGTACATGGATCAGTGCAGGCTAGGGGTAGGTAGCCCGAATTTTACCTGCACTCAGGAGCATATGCACCCAGTATTTCAAGCCCTGGAACTGAAGTAATCATTTTGAACACCATCTCTCGTATGAACTCGTCAAAACCATCAGCGATAGTCCTGCCAAAGGGTGTCGTCAAACACCTGAATTCATCATACAAATATCACTTTGTGTCCATCAATTTCAGCCATACTGTGTTCGCTGACATGTAAAACCTACGGCGGCGTTACGGGGAGAGCAATATTGGCAGGGGGACTTATGTCGCTTTGAAAGCATTTTTATGTGGCAGCCTTTCCTGTCAATATGGCCAATTAGACGGCTTAAAAGCCTACTGGTTGGATATGTATGAATTCTGTACCAGCTATGCCACTCATGACTCAGGATATACAGTGTTTAAGTCTTACGCTGGCTGGAGATTGCTAAGAAAAGGATTAGAAACACAGGAAGGACTCTGTATTGCAGGTATCTTAGTATAGATATTGATAGATGCAATATTTGAAAAAAAAATGAGCCAGCTAAAAATCGAAACCCACAACTAATGTGACAGATTATCATTTTAACGGATCATTTGAAGGGCTCAATGTGTCATTTATCTTGTATTTTATCTGACATACATCAACTTTATTTCAGGCTACATAGACCAAGAATGAACATGCAAGTATATAAACTACAATCACATAGTGTTAACCCAGTTATCACACATAAAGGGTCTAAAATATGACTGCTCCTAGCACAAGCTGACAGTGGATTATTGTAAACTGTGTCTTCAATGGCGTCATAGAAGAAAAGTCAAAATCATGGGGAAACTGGAAGGACGTTAATCTCCCAGCAGATCTAGATCTTTTGGTGGCAGCAAACCATGGCCGGCGTAAGAAAAAATACCAGTACAAAGGAGAGTAGAGTTGTTCGGTCAGGTAGGACATCTGACTAAAAAGAATGCCTGATAAAAACTTCTTAAAAACGCGTCAAAAATAAGCCAAAGCCTGTGATTGGAGAGCAGGATGGAGGGCTGGTATGTTGGTGACCTTGTCCTTGTACTGTCCCAGCCAGTCACGCCCCATGGCGATGGAATGGAAGGAAACCAGATCACTCTGGGGTCCCTGTTTACATTCTGCCACAAGAAGGCTCAGGTTCTGCTGCGCTCTTCCTGCCTTCAACGAGAGCCTTCCCGCGGCTGAAAGATGTCTCCTGATTAAACACACTTCAGCAAAAGTCCCTGCATCCTTTCCTACGGCTGGCAGAGGAAACTGCGTGGTGATTTTGAACTTGGCGCTCGCCCCTCCCACTTCCCTCCCCGCACTTCCCACAACACTGACTGTGCCTTCCTGTAAGTAAGACCCTCGGGCACACCATATGGTTTCTAACACAGAAAACCAACAGTGTTCTCCAACATGACAGGATGACCCACCCCAACACGCTGACAAATCTAGAGGCCAGCACTGTCCTACATATTTGCCTTGATTTATTGGTGAAACATCCTTGAATTTCTCACATTCTGGCACTGAGGCCCCTCTGGAGAGCCCGGAACAAAGCCGGGAGTGTTGTACCCCTCCCAAGAGTCGCCCAGGAGATCAGTAGAGAAAAGGACTTGGGCAGCCTCTGAGGAACCAACTCCACACTGCTCCTCCTCCTTATTAAGGGTGCCTGACCCATGAAATACTTGAAGAAATTCCACACTTCTGCAGGAATGTGGGCATATTTTACTGTAATCCTTTCCCAGGCTCTC